AAACGCACGCTGGGCACGTGTGCGTGCGTGCCCAAAATCCCAAGAGGAGAATGGAGAAGGGATTGTGGCGTGGCCATCCCCCCCTGGGGGGGGGTGATTTCTCGCTTTCTGTGTCTCTGTCTCTGTCTTTCTGGCGAGCACACGTGCCCTATAGCAAAAAAATAAAAAATAAAAATACATGAGGGCTTTTCCAAGGACTCAATACTTAGAGAATTAGTAAACTGTTTTCTTCACCAGGCTCTTCAAACTTGGCCTGTCCAAAACATAATTCGATGGTTTCAACTTCAATTCCTCCTTCTGTTCCTAGTTCCCTAGCACTTCTTATTTCAGAGATGGAAATAGCAAGGACCTTTAATCAGTACTGAAAGCTCAAACATACCTGAGCAGGTAAGGTGACAGGCCTGCTGAAGATCTATTTGCATGAAGAACCTTTCCCACTCTCCACCTCTAGGAAAAAAGAACTAGGGAGGTAAGATTGACACCGAAAAAACAGAAGTCTTTATTCACTAAAAATGAAAACTGGTTCTGAGACCATCATGATGTCCCTCAGATTTGTCACTGAAACAAAATTATGGGTTGACATCCATATCCTAAGAAGAGTATAGTGAGTACAAAGAGAGGGATTGAGTACTGAAAAGGGGATGAAAAAATAATCTATAGTTGAAATATGTCACGTCTCTCTCTTTTAATTTTGCTATAGGACATGTATGCTTGCTGATCAGAGATAGAAAGTGAGAAAGCACTCCCCCAGGGGGGATGGCCACACAGTAATCCCATCTCCTCCATTCTTCTCTTGGGATTTTGGGGGCATGCACACACGTATCCAACAGGTTTTTCAAGCAGCTGGGTCCAGGATTCAAACCACACAGAGGGTCCTGTGGGAACCAGCTATCTTAATGAGCACATCACCAGTTGGCCTGCAGTATCTTTGAGTCCAGGTAAGACTTAAACTTTCCCAGTTTATTTGCTAGCATTTATTTTTTCATTGTCTATTGAGAGTTACTTGTTCATTTAGTTGTTATTACACTATTACTGTTTTTCTTAAAAATTAAGACTTTCTTTTCCTTGCATTTTTTTTTTCCAGCTCGCTTTCATTTCTCTTTATATGGTCATCTTTGTTAGTCAAATTTTTCCATATGATTTTTTTTTCTACTCATTTTAGGCTTATAAAGCTCTAATCCATAGACATTTTTTTTTCTTTTTTTGGAGAGGATTTTGCTATAAGGCACATGCACTCGCCAGACAGACAGAGAGAGACAAAGAGACAGAAAGCAAGAAATCGCCCCCCAGGGGGGATGGTCACACCGCAATCCCTTCTCCTCTGTTCTCCTCTCGGGATCTTGGGCACGAACGCACACGCGCCCAGTGTGAATTTAAGCCACCGGGTCCGGGATGTGAACCATGGTCAACTACGTGGTAGTCCAGCGACATAGCCATTACGCTAACTGCTGGTCCCTAATCCATAGACATTTGAAAATTATCCATTTTCTTCTAGTTATTTTTATCAGTGGATTATATACCAATAACATTTTATCAACATTTAACTCCAAAGATTAGTCCACAGTGCCAGAAGCATTTATGGAATAATAACTTCTATTGGTTTTAGAGTCTATATTTATTCTGTATAAAACAGATACAAGGGTCTGCTTTGAGCACTATTTTGTTCCATGAATGCATCACTCTTGGCACTTGTACAATACCATCTAATATTGTATTTTTAGAGTGCTTTTAATATGGGGAGAGGAGAATCTCATCATTACTTTTCCTCAAAAAATTAGTTTTACCTATTCATTTTTCAGATATTTCATGATTTAAAATAATATATATTTTTAGGGGCCAGCATGTGGCATCGTGGTTAAGAGCACTGGACTCCCACATGGCTAACCACAGTTCAAGTCCTGAACCAAGAGGCTTGCTTTTTTACACTCCCCCTTCCTCCTCTCTCTCTCACTCACTGTCTGTCTCTGGTCAAAGTAAAATAAATAAAGATAAATAAAATAATTCTTTTTTAAAAGTTTTAAAAATATTTTTTTAAGTTTATTTATTCCATGAGTGAGAAAGACAGAGATACAGCATCCCCCAGGGTCTTGGTACTATGATCCACTTCCTCACCCTCAGCCTTCTGAATCATGATTAATTGTGAAGTTGTGATAAAACTATGAGTTAGTTGAGGAAAAAGAACTGACCACATGGAAGTATTCAGCCTCCCATTCAGGAATGTTCATATCTTCATTTATCTAGTAGATAGAACCATAAATCTTTTCTGAAAACTATGCATTCATCTAAAGGCATATGGGTAGCTGTTGTAGATATTTTCCAGTTTTCAGGGTAAGAAAAACTCCTCTCACCTAAATCTGAATAGGGATGTTTGTGACTGTTTTTTGAATTTGAAGTCAGAAACTGGAATTATCATTTCATCGTAAGATCTGAAAACCAGGAAAGGAAAAAAAAAATGTTTAATGGAAAATTCCTAGAAGAAAAAAGAGAAATAGAAAGTCGAAATCTGTGCTTATCAATCTGCAACTTACAACCCATGGTGAGTTTGGGAAATATTTAACAGACCTTCAACAGACAACTGTTTTTAGTAAAATTGAATTAGAACATTTTCTAAGCACTGTTTTGTGGAAATTTACATCTACTGTGTATTTATATGTGTGTGTGTGTGTGTGTGTGTACTGAATCTGAACCAGGATAAAAGTGAATCCCATTCTACCAGGGAGGTTATAGTGCATTTTTTAAGCCTAACCACATAAATGGTTATTTATATTTCTAATTCATTTTACAAAAATGTTCCTCTTTCCGTTTCCAAATTAGATCTTTATAATTTGGTGGATAGGGGATTTTCATGTTTACTTTCTTAACAGAAAATCATCATCATTCCTTCCACCCATGGTTCTGAGGTTGCTTATATGCAAAGAACCCTGGTGTTAAGAGATAGAACCCAAATGAATAAGGATGTTGTTTACCAAAAAAAAAGACTATGCACTAGATTTCACATGGATACACCGAGTTGTCATAAAAGTCATGACACATTTTTTGTATTTGTATGCAAAAATGTATCATGACTTACCCAATGACCCGACAGAGGATTCCATTTTCTTTAATTTCTCCCCCAAGAGTTTAATAGAAAATAAAAGTGTCGGGAACCAGCAGTTAGCGTAATGGCTATGTCGCCGGACTCCCACGTAGTCGACCGCGGTTCACGTCCCGGACCTGGTGGCTTAAAACACACCGGGAGCATGTGCGTGCATGCCCAAGATCCCGAGAGGAGAATGGAGGAGAAGGGATTGCAGCGTGACCATCCCCCCTGGGGGGTGATTTCTCGCTTTCTGTCTCTCTGTCTATCTCTGTTTGTCTGGCAAGCACACGCGCCCTATAGCGAAAGAAACCCTCTTAAAAAAAAAAAAAAAAGAAAGAAAGAAAGAAAGAAAAGAAAAGAAAAGTGCCAGGGCGAGCTGGCATGGCGGTTGAGGCCGCTGGATCCTCTATGGCCAATTGGCCAATTGCGTGGTTCAAGTCCAGGACCCAGCAGCTTGAGATACGCTGGGCATGTGAAGTGTGCACACCCAAAATCCCAACAGGAAAGAGATGGAGAAGGGATTGTGGAGGGGCCATTCCCCATGGGGGCTACTTTCTCTTCTGCCTCTCACCGGTAAATGCACACGCCCTTTAGCAATTAAAAAAAAATAATAAATTTAAAAAGAAAAGTGCCAGGCACTTACGGGGCTTATTCAAGGTATGCATATTAATTAACATAGTTTTTTTAAAAATAATTATTTATTTTATGTATTCATTCATTTATTATTATTATTATTTTTTGTTTGACCAGAGAGAGACAGAGGGTGAGACTGAGAGAGAGAGGAGGTGAGAAAGCAAGCCACCAGATTCAGGACTCAAACCCTGGTCGGCCATATGGGAGTGTCCAGCGCCTTAACCACCACACCACCTGCTGGTCCCAATTAACATAGTTTTTAGTGGGCTCAAACTTAAGGCTTTTTGCCCAAATAAACTCCAAAGAGTATGCCTGTTTTTCTCTAAATAGTGCTGTGAGCCAAGAACAACACAAGAGTCCCCTATCAGGTTTATGTTATTCATTTTATGGCATACTCTTATACTTATTGTTTAATACTTTTGTCAAATGACATTACCTTCTTTCTGATACTAATCCTGGCTTATCTCAGTAATGGCAAAATGCAACATAAAGCATTCTAAATAATTTCATTTACAAGCTTTGTTAATGGAGAATCAATTGTACTGTCCCCTGAATGATGCCCACCTTCTCACATGACATTTTAATCCGGAAAGTCTTGAATATGTACTCTGATCACAAGGAATTATTTTCAAGATTCTTATGTTATATGTGTGTTGCCTTTGGATTTCCCTTAATTTAGAAAACAAGTAATTTGTCGGCAAAAAGATATAGTTTGAGTATTTTGAATTATGGTAACCAAATATATAAGTGTAAAATTTTATTTTAAAGTCTTGTAAACTCAAAGGTCTTTAAAAGCCATCTGGCTCTGACCACTAATTCTCAAATACTAAATAAATCAATCTGGTAGGTGTATTTAATGTGGTTAGTAGTGAAACAGCACTAGTAATCATAAGGTAACCCTTTCAAATTGAGGTCTATTTTAAATAAAACTTATTAAATGCTGCCTAGAAATAATCATGTTTATTAATCAATAATCAGATGCTTGATAAACATGACTATTTCCTATCTAGGATTTCCAACTGGTACAAAATCTAATGCCTTAATTTATGCACCAACAGGCTGCATTCTATTACCCATATTTTCCATACACTGACATCAAGTTTTATATAAACATTTGTTTCAAAGAGCCTATTGAGTTTTTTGAAGAATTCCTTAGGTAACATATTGCTATTAATAATTTGTTATGCATGAAGTAAAAGATTTCCCTGTCAGATTTTCTAGACAGCAAATAAGTTTCAAGACGTTTAGTGAAGACTTACTATTTTATTTTTCAGAGATTCTACTTTAAATATGGCTCAGAGTGACTTCCTCTACCCAGATAACCCAAGGAGGCGGCAGGAAGTAAATCGTCTTCACCAGCAGCTCCTTGATTGCTTATCTGACAGCTTCCACGCTACTAATAAGCTGATAGGGGTTCTAAATATGCACTTGGGGTGCAAGCTGGCCTCCATTGAGATGAAAAGAGATGGAACCATCAAAGAAAACTGTGATATCATCATCCAAGCCATAATGAAAATCCAAATGGAATTGCAAAAGGTTGATGAAGCATTAAAAGAGAAACTAGAGCCAACCCTTTATAGAAAACTTCAGGATATAAAGGAAAAGGAAACAGAGAAAATTGCAATTGTGCAAAAGGTCATTTCAGTCATCCTGGGAGAAGCTACATCTGCAGCCAGTGCAGTGGCTGTGAAACTCGTGGGCTCCAATGTCACCACTGGCATAATTAACAAGTTGGTCACTGTGTTAGCTCAAATCGGTGCTTCTCTACTTGGAAGTATTGGAATTGCAGTTCTAGGCCTTGGCATAGATATGATCTTCCGTGCCATCCTGGGGGCAGTGGAGAAAACACAGCTTCAAGCAGCCATCAAAAGTTACGAGAAGCATCTGGTGGAGTTCAAGTCAGCCTCAGAGAAATATCATCATGCCATTACTGAGGTCACCAACACAGTAAAACGCCAGATGAAATGAACAGTCATTTTATTTGTCACTAAAATATACTTCTGCTTCCCTCTCAACAAGTGCTTGCCTCTTTGATTAGGTTCATTTCTATAAGCTTTACATATGGCCTTAAGTAGAGTACACAATTTTAAAAGAACCGAAGATGCTAGAAATGGTTATATTTTTTAAGTTTTCTGCATTTGCCTGCCACAAAGACAGTGCGAGTGAAAATGAGAAATCACCCCCATGGGTGGATGGCCACACCCCAATACCTTCTCCTCCACTCTCCTCCTAGGATTTTGGGTATGCATGTGTAAGTACCTGGCATGACTGTCAAGCCACCAGGTTCAGGTCTTAAATTGAAGTCAGCCATGTGGGAGTCCAGCACCTTAACCTCCATGCCACCTGCTGGCCCCATGTCTGAAATTTTTTATCAGCAATGAATAACCAGGTCAGTTGGTGCTAGACCCTGTGAGGTAAAAGATTATTCTCCAGGATATGCTCTCATCCTGCTTTTCTAGATCACTTTTTGGGTAAGTGCTATTATAAAACAGCAGGTACAAGAGCTACCCTTTCCTTTTCTAACTGCCAGTCAAATATCTTAAAATCTACATTGAATGCAAGGACCAGACACAAACCCTCAGCCTTCAAATGGAATAGAAATACTGCCACACTTTTAACCATCAGATCATATCTAATTTTCTATAAACTGGAAGAGACTAAAAAATTGTAACCATTTGCTTCAATAATGACGGTAGGAAATGGACCTGTAAACACCTACTAACTCAAGTAATCTGGATGGATTAAAAAAAAATAAAACTAAAAGAACGAAGGTTCTGTTTCTATAACTGCAATCAACTCTGGCCAACTATGATTAAATATCATTCAAGTGAATGTTTGAACAGTCTGGAACATTTAAAACAAACAAGCAAATACCAGCTACAACATTCACTAACTGCATTTAGGATATAGAGAGGAAGGAAGTCACTACTCTTTTAAGACTGTCATTTAAAGGAAAGTCATAATTTCTTACAAGTTTTCAAAGAAAATATGAGCAGAAAGAAGGCAGGTGCCTTTTGCTGCATGAAACATTAGGCAGCTATTTCACTATCCAATTTCAAAAAAATACTAGAGACCTGAATGGTTCAGCTAAAACAATGCAAATGGAAGTGGTTTTCTAATTCCTTATTTTCATTAAGTCTTTTATGGTCTACTTATAAAATTATTAATATGTTATGATGCAATAATGTACTTGTGACTACTGATTCTTGCATGTAAATACAAGAAAATGTCTTGAAACAAACAATACTCAGCATTTTTCCTCAAAAATTTTTAATAGCTAGGTGAAAACTGACTAGACTCTAATTTTCACTGTTTCCTCTCCTTTGTTGCTTTTAAAAATTAGTTAAAACATTACAATTTACTTGTCAAAATTTATTTATTTATTGCTTACTACCTGGTTCATACATAAGCTTTTTCTTTTTTTTTTTTTTTTTGCGAGGTTTTTTGGTAAAGGGCGCATGCACTCGCTGGAAAGGCAGAGCCAAGAGAGACAGAAAGCGAGAAACCATCTCTCAAAGAGGATGGTCACACCACAATCCCTTCTCCATTCTCCTCTCGGGATCCTGGGCACGCATGCGTACACACAGATACACAGACAGACAGACAGACAGACACACACACACACACACACACACACACGCCCTCCTCCGCCTCCCCATCCCTGGGTGCTATTAAGCAGGGTGGGGGCATGTCCGGGATTCGAACCTCTATGGACTACTTGGGAGTCCGGTGACAAAACCGTTACGCCATCTGCTGGTCCCTACACATAAGCTTTAACCTACAAGATAGTGTTACTGTTCTGAGACTCAGAGTCTAAAATCAAATCAAGAATTTACTAAGAAGGGTTAGTTTAGGTACGGGATCAACCTTACACTGCTAAGGACATATGAAAATATTCTGCTAAAAATTACGTACTTCCACCAATACTTCAAAATCTTCTGGCCTATGCTAGCTCACTTTCCTAGAAGTGATACTCAATATCCGAAATAACCAAGTGTGTCCTTCAGGAGTAGAATTTTTGAAATGTTTAAACTTACCATTAAAGAGAAAATGGGAGGAGTCTTAGAGAAAGAGCAGATAGAAGGATAGGAGGGACAGAAAAGATTAAAAGTCCTTATGAATAGTGACGTCACAGAGAATTTTTGGCTGACGTAAAAGACCAGCCTGGAACGGAAGCAATACATATCAACCTCGCCACTTGTGTATCTAAAACTACGTATCCCCACATTTCCTTTTCGATATGCTATTTCTTGTATATAGTAACTTAGGACTCTGATTCGGGCACGGGTTATTCGTTCAGGCCTACAAAAGCTGTGTGTCTATCAGCCACAATCGAATTTCCAGAGGCACCAGGCTTCCACATGGGATAACCTGATGCTTGCAAAGCGAATTAAACTCAGCAGTGTTATTCAAAGATTCGTTTTCAAATGGCAACAGTCCCAAAGGATTGGGCCTGCTTACATCACACGTGAAAATCCAAAAACTAACATAATTACAGGGCAGCAACAAAGCTAATTAAACACCTCTTAGTCTTCCTAAAGTACCGCTCAATGGGCGAAGCTCCCGGAAATTAAGTCAGAATGTCTCCCGCACAAGAGGCCGGGCAGTCAGCCAGTCAGATAGCCGCCTCCTTTCTCTTAATCCAATTGGGTTAGATAACTGTCAATCGACCGGGAGTTTTCGTACTGAGGAATGAGGCGGGCTCTTAGCCGACAGCAAAGAGATAGCCAATCAGATACTGTATTCGAGCGGAAACGACTGTGGTCCCGCAGTTCTTGAGTACTCTCTATGGTTTGAGGAACCAGCAACGCTAAGAGATCGTCGGCTGCAGAGAGAGGAAGTGACGTAAGGATGGCGGAGGGGCGCGAGGTTTCAAGATGGCGGTGGCTGAGTGGTTGACCGAGAGGCTGAGGTGAAGGCCCCCCCCTACGAAGTAAAAGAGATCAGGAATCGACCCTTCCCCTCTTCTTGCAAACCGGGGAGTCCAGCAGAAGTGTGAGTGTACAGTATTGCTTTCCTCCGCTTCATCACTCCTGTCCGTTCCCGAGGCCCGCACCGTTGCCTCGGAGAACACCAGGCCCCTTTGCCCAGCGCTTCCTCCCCGCGGTTGGGGTATCCCGACTCTGGGACTGAAGGATCCCTGGCCTGGGGCGGCGCGGCGTCCGTCGGTTCTGTAGTTGACTTGGCCAGGGACTGTTGGCGCCGGTTCTTAGGCACGTTGACCGGTTACCTTAGGCTTGACGTCTTGTACCTCGAGTCAGGTCAACCGTCGCTATGGTTTCGGCAGTTGCTGCTGTTGTCGCCTGGTTTGGTGGATCTAGACCCCGACTCATTGACTATTTAGCCTTCTTCAAGATTTTTGACGTAATTTCCCTATCGCCTCTGTTTTTAGACCAAAAAAAACGTAGTTTGTGTAAATTACAGCTCCAGTGTCTTCTGTGAAAATTCCCTGTGATTTGTATCACTTAACGTGCTTCAGTTATGGGAGAAGAGGGTCAAAACATGAGCCTGAGGGTGATTAAGAAAGGAAAACACAAAAAAATACAGTAAATACAGTTAATCAAAGATGTAAGAATTTTACTTAGCCTGATTTTGATTATTCTCACCCTTTTCCACCACCTCTACAACACCCCCCCTCCGTTTCTTTTCTAAGAAGGTAACACTTGACAGGGTGAAATAATGGGCTCTGCGACCTCTACCAGAAATCGAGGCAGTTGAGCACTTAGGGAGAGAGGCCTTAACTGCAGTAAACTGGTTCGACAAAGTCGTCATAAAAGGGAGAAAGGGAATAGTAATTGTATGGTCAATCAAAACATTTACCTCATAATCTTCCCTTTTCCACTCTTTAAAACTTTAAAGTATCCATTTTCAAAAGGAAACAAATTTATCAATCTGTATTATTGGAAAGATTCAGTGTCAAAAAGTTAACTCTCTACTTTGGGGTAAGAGAAAGAAGTGATGTAGTAGTGTATTATAAAAACTGGTTTAGGGGACCAGCAGTTAGTATAATGGCTATGTCGCTGGAGTCCCACGTAGTCGACCGCGGTTCGCATCCTGGACCCGCTGGCTTAAAACACGCCGGGCGGGCGCATGTGCGTGCATGCCCAAGATCCCTAGAGGAGAATGGAGGAGAAGGGATTGCGGTGGCGTGGCCATCCCCCCTAGGGGGTGATTTCTCGTTTTCTATCTCCTTGTCTGGCGAGCGCACGCTCCCTATAGTAAAAACCTCTCCCCCCCCCAAAAAAAAACCGGCTTACAAAATATGTTCACCCCAATACTATTACCCCTTTTAGTTTCCTTAAAAAATACAAATCAGGAGTCAAGTAGATACTAGTAAGAAAAATATGTATCTTAAGATCGAAGTTTTGGGGAACTTGCAATATGTTATACTAATGACTTAAATATTTGTATTTTTAAGCTCTGAGAGTCAATAATTACATCTGAATTAGAACTAAATCTGAATTAAATATGCTTAAATTAATGACTAAATTGTCTCAGGGGTGTTAGGAATACACAGTATACATGCCAAGAAAAACGAGAGGAGCAAGGATGACATGTGTTTGTCTTTGAGCCCAGATCCATTAACCAGTTCTCTTTTAATTCTTCCACCCTACATGTAAACAAAGGGAGGATATAGAAAAAGACTACTGGCTTCTTATGGTCATAGTTTGTGTCATATGAAAGCATTTCCTAGTTGATATTTTCAGTTCACTGACAGAATCAGTGCTAGGATCCATAAAAAAAATAAATAAAGATTTAATGATATTCAAGGTGATTTTCATTCCTGTTACCCTTCATAAGAAAAATAAAGATCTAATTTCTCCATGGTCAGGAAAATTGAGGCCATCTTGCCTGGACACCAAAGTCAAAACTAAGGGAAGTTGCACAAAATTAGTAATCAAAGATATGTTTCTTTTTCAGACATTGGTAGAGATCCTAAATGTAATAGGAGAAATAAGCTATTTCTTTGTCTTGGCAGGATTTTTTTTTTTTTTAATGAATTACTGAACCATGTACATTATCAACATGGGACGGAGATCAACATCATCCACCAAGAGTGGGAAATTTATGAATCCCACAGATCAAGCTCGTAAGTTTCCATTGGTGTGGATTGATCAAGTAGAGGAGCGTTAACATTTGCAAATATTAGAGATCTATTTGATAATGGTTTAATGATAAGATTAGCAGTAACAAGCGGAGTAAATTATATATAAAGTTATCCAGTGTTCTTGTGGACATATTACAACTTTAAACGTGAAGAAATTGGTACCCGTATTTCATTTCTCAAATTGACTGATATGCAAAGTATAGGCTTAAAGCTTTCTTTTTGTTTGGGGAATTTAAAATTAGTGTGTATTTTAAGCGCTTTAGTATTTTATGGTATCTTTTTTTCTTCAGATTTACACTTATTTTTTTAAAACCTTAAAAATAGCTTGACTTTTTTTGGTTATCCTGATTTGAGAGATACTATTGGCATCTAGTGGGTAGAGGCCAAGGATGCTGCTAAATGCATAGGAGAGTCTTCCTTAATAAAGGATTATCTGTTTTGCACTGAAGATGTTAATGTTCAATATTTGAAAGTTTTATTCTTTCTCCCTTTTAAGGAAAGGAAGCCCGGAAGAGAGAATTAAAAAAGGTATGATTTCAAAAGTATCCTATATAGCTATAAGAATTGTGGCACATCTTATTATTTGGGATTAGCAGATTTCAAAATAATGTTTCAAATTAATTTGCCAGAAAAGATGGTTTATCCTTCATATAAAAACCATAAAATTTACTGTGTGTAGAAAATGAACTGAAGTTAACTTTGCAGATAACTCACAGTGGGTTATGATGACATTGTTTATTTGATTACCTTTCTCAGTGAATAAAATTTTTTTAAATGTTTTTTTTCTTTGCTTCTTAAGTTCTTTGTTAAAAGCCCACTGAGTTAAATGTAATGCTAGACAGCTTTGTATATCCATTTTTCTTATCTAGTTAGCAGTTGAGTTTGTGGCAAATTAATTCTACAGACTAGGAAAGGATTTAAATTTTAGTGTCATGTCTTACTTGTTTTTTTTAATCGAGGAAGAAAGCACCCTTCATGGGGCATGGTCACACCACAATCCATTCTTCTTTTCTCCTTCCTATCAAGATTTAGAACATGTATGCACATGGCCCCAATAGATTTTTTCAGGTTTCTAGAGCCAGTACTCATACAGCTGTTTTTCACATGCACTCCAACTTCCCTTAACCATTAGGCTCAGGGCCAGCCCAATACCATGCTATAATTTGAGGGAGTGCAGGTTTTAAATTTAATGATTTTCACTTGTGTTTTTGTTTTATCATTTAAAATTAAATCCTGCAAAACTCTTCTGTATTCCAATATATCATTTTAGTTTAGCTACTGCCTTTGTATTTTTTTGAGTTACTTTCAAGGAACTGCTAAAGATTTGCAAGGTTAATTTTTTTTTGGCTATAGGGCACATGTGCTCACCAGGGAGACACAGAGATAGACAGAAAGCAAGAAATCATACCCCTGGGGAGATGACCATGCCACAGTTCCTTCTCTTCCATTCTCCTCTTGGGATTTTGGGCACACATGCATGTATGTTCAGTGTCAGTTTTAAGCCGCTGGGTCCGGCAGTCAAACCGCAGTCAACTACATGGGAGTCCAGCAGTGTAACCATTATGTTACCTGCTGGTCCGTAAAAATTTATTTTCTGAGAAAATACATCAAATAAATAATATTTCTTTATCTTACTAACATCTAAATATTATTGAGAGCAACAAAGTACATTGCTGTTACTAGTTCAAGTGATCATAAGCCAAGGAAAAGTTCAAAACTCAGTTTAAATAGATTATTGAAGCAAACTGAAATAAAACTTGAGAGTCCAGCCTCTTGACATTTTGTTCTTTCTTCATTTTTCTTAAGAACAAAAAACAACGCATGATGGTACGAGCTGCAGTTTTAAAGATGAAGGATCCTAAACAGATTATCCGGGACATGGAAAAATTGGATGAAATGGGTAAGAATTTATAATGTCTAGGAGACAAAGTGGATGGTGGTAGTGCTGTTGCAAACTGAAGGTTTCATGTCATAGAATGAGTAGAAAGTCGTTATTTTCTTTGAGCTAATTATTGTTAGGAGGTAATGAAAACCCAATTTGGCCAGCTCTTTTTCTGAGAGGAGACATGTTTACAAAATCATTAAGCTTTTTGTCTGAATATTAGTTGGGAATACTACTTTCCCTAAGGAATTAGGAAGTCCCCCATTAAACCAATCCATTTGCTCTATGTTGCTTTTAAAGGAGATAATAGTAATGATAGATTTATTACTACACACCAGTTTTATCCATGTTACCATCTAATCCTCAGGACAACTTTTTAGGATGGGTTGATTGTCCCTATTTTATGGGTGAAGAAACTCAAGGTCATTACATTACATACTTTTCTCAAGGTCACACTCTGTAGTGACAAAGCTGGCATTAAAACTCAAGCATTAAACACTTTTCTTAATCATACTGGGAATAATATAAGAATATACCTTGTGGACTTGAATAAACCATCAAGGTTAATAGTTAAGACGGTTAAACTTGTTATTCTTCAAAGGAAAAGAAAAGAGACAAGGTAACATCACTTCATTGGGGTTTTAGTTACAGTATATAATATTCAGTACAATACCCAACCTTTGGCATGGTGACTAAGGCAGCTGAATCCCACATGGCCCTTCTCAAGGTTCAAGTTTCATCTCTAGCAGCTTGAGAAACTCCATGTGCATGCATGCCCAAAATCCCTAAAGGAGGGAGAAATGGAGGAGAAAGGATTGCAGAGCAGCAATTCTCCCTGGGTAGTGCTTTCTCACTTTCCTCCCTCTTTCTGTTTCCAGGGAAGTGTAGGTACCCTCTCAAATTTTAAAATCTATGTTTTTTAATATATACGTACATGTAAATATATTGGGTTATTGGAAAAGTCATGACTTTTTTGCATGGAAAAACAGAAAAAAATAACATCATGACTTCTCCAACAACCCAATGTATATTTATATAAGTATATATTATATACATGTAGATATAAAATGTTTTTTATATACATATGTAGACACACACACTAGTTAGTGCAGAAAAAAGTCTGCATTGGCTCTTAGAATTGAGAAAAACCCTGGACCAGCAGTTAATCTACTGGCTATGTCGCTGGACTCCCATGTTGTTGACCACAGTTCAAGTCCTGGACCCTGTGGGCTTAAACTCAGGCCGGGTGCATGTGCATGCATACCCAAGATCCCGAGGGGAGAATGGAGGAAAAGGGATTGTAACTTGGCCATACCCCCTGGGGATGATCTCTCACTTTCTATCTCTCTGTTTCTTTCTGTCTTTCTGGTGAGCACACGCACCCTATAGCAAAAACCTCCCCCCAAAAAAGAGAAAAAAACCCTAGAGAAACCAGCATGAAAACCCAGATTCTGGGACCAACAGGTGACATAGTGGTTGTAACGCTGGACTCCCACATGGCTGACCACGGTTCAAGTCCCAGACCTGGTGGCTTGGAACTCAGGCTGGGCACTTGTGCACACATGCCCAAAGTCCCAAGAGGAGAATGGAGGAAAGGGGGTTGTAGCTTGGCCATCCCTCCAGGGGGTGATTTCTCACTTTTTCTCTGTTTCTCTCTGTGTCTCTGGCAAGCGTACACACCATTAAGGCCAAAATCTCTCTTAAAAAAAAAAAGAAAAGAAAAGAAAACCCAGATGCCATCATCAATGTTGTCCTTTTGTCTAATCTGCATTCTTAGTTTCCTTCAGCATGTTACTTATGAACCTCTCCTTGGGGTGGAACGTAGAATTAGTGGTGGTTAGAAGGCAAGGCCAAAGACACCTCTAGGTTTGTTTTCTACATTTTTGTTATCTCCAGGGATACACACAAACACATATACGTACACATATATGCTTCTCTCTCCCAAAAAGTGATCTGGTCATAGTTTGGATCATGTGCCAGATGATCTCTGAGATGGTCCCTGAAAAAAAAAAGAGAGTGGAGGATAGGACTAAACCAGCAAACCTTACAGTCTTGTGCTATACCCTGTGGGGCAGGGGACCTGAAAGTAACCCCTATGTTGACATACATGATTTGAGGAATGAGAGTTGTATGGTAGACAAGGAACATGAATCCATTATAAAAATAGTGTTGAAGTTGTGAGCCAAACACTACTGAGTATTTTATTTGTAATCCCATTTCATCTTCAAAGTTTTGTTATAAAGGAATTGATGGCCCCATCTTCCAAATGAGGAAATTGAAGACCAGAGAAGTCAAGAAAAATGCCCAAGATTTCAGAATCAAATGACAGAATCAGTGTAGTATATAAATAAAAACCTCACTATACCAAGTTTTTAGCATAGAGGAATGAAAATGGACTTTTATTACAGTGAAGATAAAAAATGGTGACATTTCTGAGAAATCAAAGTAAAATTAATGGCCATCAATAAAGGGTAGAATTTTAATAAATATTATAGTTCTATTATAGTTCTTTTGAATAAAATTGAAAAGTGTATGTCTGGAGTTTAGATTCCTTTTTAAATTTATGTATATAAAAAATTTTTCTTAGATAATATAACCTCTTCATACCTAAATGAAGTGATTTTTTGGTATTCAATCCATTAATCTGGTTTTTTCTCTTAGAGTTTAACCCAGTTCAACAACCACAATTAAATGAGAAAGTACTGAAAGACAAGCGTAAGAAGCTGCGTGAAACTTTTGAACGTATTCTACGACTCTATGAAAAAGAGAATCCAGATATTTATAAGGAATTGAGAAAACTAGAAGTAGAATATGAACAGAAGAGGGCTCAACTTAGCCAGTATTTTGATGCTGTCAAGGTAATCGGGTTTCTTTTAAGAGAAACTAAACTCTTATAATTAATGGGAGAATTGATCATGTTGATCCTCCTCCTTATGGCAATTTCTTATAAAACTAAACCTATGGGCTGGCAGGTGGTATGGTAGTTAAGGGCATTGGATTCCCACATGGCCAACTGTGGTTCGAGTCCTGGACTTGGCGGCTTGCTTTCTCACTTTCTCTCTCACTCTGTTCCTCTCTGGTCAAACTAAAATTAATTAATTTTAAAAAATTAAAGGGACCAGCAGTTGGCGTAGTGGCTATGTCGCTGGACTCCCCCGTAGTCGACCGTGGTTCGCATCCTGGACCCAGTGGCTTAAACTCACGCTGGGCGCGTGTGTGTGCGTGCCCAAGATCCCGAGAGGAGAATGGAGGAGAAGGGATTGCAGTGTGGCCATCCTCCCTGGGGGCGATTTCTCGCTTTTAGTCTCTCTGTCTCTGTCTGTCTGGTGAGCGCACATGCCCTGTAGCAAAAACCTCTCAAAAAAAAAAAAATTAAAAACTAAACCTAAACATACCATATGAGCCAGAAAATATTACCCTTTGTATTTACACAGGAAAAATTAATCCATCTACCAACACAGTGATAGCCAAAAACTGGAAATAGCCTGGATGTCCATTAATAGGATAATGGATAAGTAAATCAAACTAGTATATTTACATAATGTAACAGTACTCAGTAATAAAAGAGAAAAATGTATAATATCCAAAACATGGGATAAAAAGAAAAAAGTGAATAAATCCTGAACACATACTAAGCTGCTTTCATAATTATGATTTTATTCATATGAAATTCTAGAGCAGAAAAAACTAATTTTTGGTTTCCCTTGGGGTGGTGGTAGGGATTAATTAGGAAAGAGTATGAGGTTTCTGCATTTGTCAAAACTCTAAATTTGTACGTTTTATTAATATTAACTCAAAAATGGAAAAAAAGCCAAATAGTTTATAATTTTGGTACAGTAGATAGTATGGGTCCCATTATGCAGATAAGGGAGCATAGGGTAATTTGCTTAATATTATACTGCTAACACACAAAAATTCACTAAAGCCTAGACTGATTTTAGAACCTAGGTTTTATCAACAAACCCAGGTTTGTTAATTGATAGGTATTATTTTCTGTCCAGAATGTTAAGGAGGGTAGCTTTGTTTGGTCTTTGATACTTTTGACACTTACTTGAATAACAGCTACTTTAAATTATATCCAGAAGAGTCAACTGATAATAAGGAGCCAAAAACAAAAAACAGCCAGACTTTGTTTTAGGGGTTTTTCTGTTTTGTTTTGTTTTGTTTTTGTTTTTGTTTTTTGAGATAAAGATTTCTTTTAATTCTTTGATGATCTTTAAAAGTATGGACTTGGGGCTTTCTATTTTGGGTGTACGCATGTGCGTGTGATAATTTGTTAGTTGGAAAGCAAATTGGTTATGAAACAGCTGATAGCTGAGTTTGTGGATCATCAGGCATACTATTGGAAGATTCTCTCTATTTCAGAATGCTCAGCATGTGGAAGTGGAAAGTATTCCTTTGCCAGATATGCCGCATGCTCCTTCCAACATCTTGATCCAGGACATTCCACTTCCTGGGGCCCAGCCACCCTCCATCCTTAAGAAAACCTCAGCCTATGGGTAAGGAAGTGGTATACGAGCGCATTCATTAAAAGCACCTCCTGACTTTCCAGTGCCAAAATTAATGAAGTGGAAATTGAAAGATAATGTGGATATGAGCAGTGTGACATTTGATTAGGTGTAAAATAATAAATCCCTTGAAAATTATTTGGAAGAGAAAGCAAATATCTCTTTACTATTATATAATTAAAATTTTCTTTACAGACCTCCAACTCGGACAGTTTCAATACTTCCTCTCCTTGGACATGGTGTTCCACGTTTGCCTCCTGGCAGAAAACCTCCTGGCCCTCCCCCTGGTCCACCACCTCCTCAGGTTTTGCAGATGTATGGCCGTAAAGTGGGCTTTGCCCTAGATCTTCCACCTCGGAGACGAGACGAAGACATGTTATATAGTCCTGAACTTGGTAAGGGATTACTGTTCCTTTTGCTCTTATAAACTTCTTAGCATTGTTTTTGGTTGGTTCTTTTAACATATTGTTCACCACCCTCAGAACCTAGGAAATAAATGAGGAAATATAAATGTTTAGTGTATTTTTTTTTTTTAATTTGCTATTTAACACTCACTGTTGGAGGGAGCTGAGAAAGCACCTTCTAGGGGGCATGGGCAGGCCACAGTCCCATGTGCTTCATTCTCCTCCCTCAATTTAGGGCATGTATTGCACATGGGCCCAGAATTTTTTTTTTTTAAGAAGTATTTGTTTATTTAATTACATTTGCTGTTATTATTTTCATTTGACCAGAGAGAGAGAGAGAGAGAAAAGGTGAGAAAGCAAGCCACCAGGTCCAGGATTTGAACTGTGGTTAGCCATGTGGGAGTTCAACGCCTTAACCACCACGTCACCTTCTGGCTCCCAGAATGTTTTTTTTTAAGCTACCAGGTCTAGAACTCAAACCGTAGTCAGCCGTGTGGAATCTAGCCACCTTAGCCACCTTTACCATTACACCACTGTATGGCTTACTGTGTTTTTAATTAGGCTTTTCATTGAGGTGTCACTCTTAATAATTGAATCTCTTAAGATTTAGATACTTGTTTCCTTTTCATCTTTATTGTCATTAGACAGAGCATCATTGCATATAGGCACTGTGATTTCATGTGTGTATATGTGTGTTTATCTACAAATAATTATTTCTAAATAGTGTTTTCTGTTTGAACCTTTTTTTAAAAAAAATCTTGCTAAAACATTGAAATCTGGAATAGCTGAGGTCATTTTAAACAATTAAGCTGTTATATTCTGAGTTCAATAGTGAGTATAGTTTTTGATATTTCTGGATACCATGTAGTTAAGAATCCACTTATGTTACTTGTTTCATGGTCCCTCCCCTCTTTTCAGCTCAGCGGGGTCATGATGATGACATTTCCAGCACCAGTGAAGATGATGGCTATCCCGAGGACATGGATCAAGATAAACATGATGACAGTACTGATGACAGTGACACTGACAGATCAGATGGAGAAAGCGAGGGGGATGAATTTGTGCATCGGGATGATAACGAGAGAGACAACAATGAAGAAAAAAAGTCAGGTATGTGCTGATGCAAGTTCCATGGTATTGATCAATAACACACAAGCTGAAGGTCAAAATTTGTTAGTGGATCTGTACAAGTAATTATGAACTCCTCGAAAGGAGGAATAATTGCTGTGTTCATGTTTATGTCTCAAACTTTTTAAAGTTTTGACACGGTAAATATTCAGTGGTTATTTGTGAGGTAAAGAAATTAAAAGTGTATGTAATGGGGGACCAGCAGTTAGCATAATGGCTATGTCGCTGGACTTCCATGTAGTCGACCGCAGTTCGCGTCCCAGACCCAGTGGCTTAAAACTCACGCCGGGCACATGTGCATGCATGCCCAAGATCCCAAGAGGAGAATGGAGGAGAAGGGATTGCAGTGTGGCCATCCCCCCTGGGGGTGATTTCTCACTTTCTATCTCTCTGTCTCTCTCTTTCTGGCGAGCACACACACCCTATGGCAAAAACCTCTCCAAAAAAAAAAGTGTATGTAATGACAAAGTCTAGTAAAGTCCATTTTTTGAGGAAAAGACAATTATATAGCAGCATAAAGATGTAGTATTGTGGGTATGTTATAGAAAAGAAGGAAAATAACAGGGTAACCAGAAGTTTGTTTAAATACCTACATTCAAAGCCCTTTGAGTTATGTGATGTTTACTTGATTATTACTAATTCAGATTAAGTTATATGTGCTCTAGAAATAGTTAAGACATTTGTCAGTACAATTTTAAGCATCAAAATAGGTGCTGAGCAATATAAAATGTCCACTAGTTCTGTCAAACCTCAGTAGTTTTGAATTTTGTCTAGCAGTTGTTTTTGTAAAGTAACTCACCATTTGGTGTATGTTTATTTTAGAGCACTGTTAAGATTCAATTTGCTTATATGTGCAGCCAGCAGATGGCATACCCAGTTACGTCTCTGGACTCCCACGTGGCCGACCAGGGTTTGAGTCCTGGACCCAGTGGCTTGAAACACGCTTGGGAGCATGTTCGTGCCCCTAAGATTCCAGGAGGAGAAGAGAGTAGAAGGGATTGCGATGTGGCCATCCCTTCTGGGGGGTTTCTCACTGTCTCTGTCTTTCTATCTGTCTCTCTGTCGTAAGTGTATGCACTCCAAGGCAGAAGCTTTTTTTAAAAAAATGAATTTGCTTATATTTTACATTGGACAAGAGGTTAAACCTGTATCTGGGTTACATTCACTTCATGAGTTGGATAACATTCTTTCTTTCCTATGTCACTTTTCACTGAATTTCTGTAACTTAATGTTGAACTGAATTTTCTCAGAATTATTTGTTGCCTTTAAGGGAATTGATAGCCCTCACTACATGTCAATTTTGTGTTCTGAGCTGCTTTGGCCAAGTTTAGTAACTAATTTACACTTTTCTAGAATAATACCTATTTTTTTAAAGAATTATTTCATTTAACTTTATTTATTTATTTACTTATCTTAATTTGACCAGGGAGGAACAGGGAGAGAGAGGAAGTGAGAAAGCAAGCTGCCAGGTCCAGGACTCGAACCGCAGTTGGCCATGTGGGAGTCCAGCTCCTTTAATCACCACACTACCTGCTGGCCCCGAAAATTGTCTTATTTTTATCTGGGTGTTCAATTTTATTGGCATGAAGATATTAATAGTATTATTTAAATCTTAAAAACTTCCAAATCTTGTCACTTTAGCATATATATTTACTGTCACTTGATACTTTATCTACCGTCTTTAATCTCTTCCTGCACTTACCTTCTGCCAAGTAGAGGGTAGCAAGCACAATCTCGTAGTATATAGAATTTGTTACATAGCAAGCATTCACTGAATTTTGTTGATCCCAACCCATCCCACTCCCTTTCTTCCCTCTTCCCTTAGGTCTGAGTGTACGATTTGCAGATATGCCTGGAAAATCAAGAAAGAAAAAGAAGAACATGAAGGAGCTGACTCCTCTTCAAGCCATGATGCTTCGAATGGCAGGTAAGGCAGGGAAAGGAGAGTGAATGGGCTTTCTTATTTCATGCTTGGGATTTATATACATTGTTCTATTTAGTTCTAATCTCAGCAGCCCTCAAGTAACAATTTTTTGTTTTCTTTGTTTTGTTTTGTTTTCATTTTGCAAGAAATTAAGGTTTGGAACCTTTAGAGAGGCTGCCCAAAGTTACATAGCTAGCAAATGGTTGAGCTGGTTTTAAATTTAGGTCTATTTTGTGCTAAAGCCTGACTTTCTTCCACTGTCCACAGTAGCATAGATGAGCAGAAATCTGTTTGATTCTTCCACGGTGTTCATCTTAAGTGCATGTTTATTGAGCATGCATCTCCAGGCACTGCTCTTCAGACTGTGATAGAACAATTCCATTGTCTCTCAGGTCAGGAAATCCCAGAAGAGGGACGAGAAGTAGAGGAGTTTTCGGATGATGATGATGATGATGATTCTGATGATTCCGAAGCAGAAAAGCAGTCGCAAAAACAGCATAAAGAGGAATCTCACTCTGATGGCACATCCACTGCTTCTTCACAGCAGCAGGCTCCTCCCCAGTCTGTTCCTCCTTCTCAGATACAGGCACCTCCCATGCCAGGACCACCTCCTCTCGGACCTCCACCTGCCCCACCTTTACGGCCTCCTGGGCCACCCACAGGCCTTCCTCCTGGGCCTCCACCAGGTGAGTACTTACGCAGTATGCATAAGGATTTAAGTTTTAAAAGGGTTAGAATTAAGTAATTCCAAAAAATACATGTATAAGTATTGACATTTTCTTATTTCCTCCTAATGGAATTCACTAAGCTATCAAGGATTCTCAAAGTGAAATTTATTTATTCCTAGAGCATTGTTTGCAGCTCATAGTGTTTCTGACAGCCACCTGTTTTTCTCCAAAGGCTTTCTGTTTTACAGAGTTTTTATTTCTGATTTTAGCAGGAAGAACTTGAATATGTTTATTTACTGAGGCTTTCCTTAGTATTTTTAATATGACAGGTTAACCCAGTCCTAAATTGATGGCAGGTGGGACTAGGGCATAGTTAATACTCATAACATAGTTATGTTCTTCTTAGGTTAGGAATTTTTGAATGTCAGTGCAATCTTGACAGTTTTTTTTTTTATCTATAGTTCTTTAATAGAGACAAAGGTGATCAGTCTATTGATATATAAAGTATTCAGCTTGAAATCATAGTAAGTTTATTTACAATTTCAAACAATGTAGAGGACTTCTTGGCTTTTGTAATTTTAGTCTTTAATTCTAGAGTCATCCAATTAAGTTATATTCAGTTGCTCTAATTCTTTCCTGATCTGTACAAAGCAAAATTACCTGTCTTATGTCATTCTCGGTGGTCCTGTCTATGTCTTAGGGAATTTAAGAGGGTCTTTAAAGCTTCCTGGTTTATATTTTATTTTCAGCTTATATTGGAGCTGTTTAAGAATTCCACTCCGTTGTATGCTAGCCCAGAAGAGCTGTTACTGAGTATGCTTTTCATTGGTGCTGGGATAATAAGAAAAATGATACATAACAAATTCAGTTTTCTTTTTCTGGTGCTCACATATTTGTTGAATGAATTCTTTTTTCCACATATTCCAATAAGTCTTTTAAGCTACCTGATTTCAAATTAGTGATGTCAAGTCATTTGAGTTATCTTTATACCACAGATATTACTTAATGTATATTTGTTTGATTAATTTATCATTTTTTCTTTTTTCAGGAGCTCCTCCATTCCTGAGACCACCTGGAATGCCAGGGCTCCGAGGACCTTTACCCCGACTTTTACCTCCAGGACCACCACCAGGCCGGCCTCCTGGCCCTCCCCCTGGTCCACCTCCAGGTCTGCCTCCAGGCCCTCCTCCCCGAGGACCCCCACCAAGGCTACCTCCCCCTGCACCTCCAGGTGAGCTTTCAATTTATTTAACAAAAATTTAGTCTGCTATGCAAGGGGCTTTCAAAAGTTCATGAAAAACAAGAAAAAAAAAAAAGCATGAATTTCACAATTTTTTTGCACCAAAATAAACTTAGTTCATTTTCTACAAATACTTTGAAGATTTTTTTATTATTTCATTTACTATAAGACATACTAAGTTTCATATCCTGAAACCAAGGTATATCAGACAATCGTAGTTGTGTTTTGTTTTTTGTTTTTTGTTTTTTTTTCCTGATTTGTCAGAGGGCATGAGCACTTGCCAGAGAGAGGGAAAGTAAGAAAGCAATCCCCATGGGGATGGCCACACTATAGTTTTCTGTCCTCCATTTCTCCTTCCTTTTCAAATTTTTCAGCACTCATGTGCATGTTCTCAGCATGTTTTCAGGCTGCCAGGTCCAGGACTCAACATATGTATTCCTGGACTATGGACATGTGGGATTCAGCTGGCCCTTAGTGGTGGATTTTAACTGCTGTTGGCTTCGACTGAAGTAGAGTTCTTTCAGTGGGCATTTTGTACATGATTCTGCCTGTCACTTGAAGTACTAGATAGAGATCACTTTACTGACATCTCTCGAGATTTTTTTTTTAGAGAGAGGTTTCTGTTATAGGGCGCGTGCGCTCTCCAGAGAGACAGAAAGTGAGAATTCACTCCCCACAGGGGATGGCCACAGTGCAATCCCTTCTCCATTCTCCTCCTGGGCACGTACACACACCCGGCATGAGTATAAGCCACCGGGTCCAGGACTCAAACTATGGTCAACTACTTGGGAGTCCAGCAACATAGCCATTACACCAACTGCTGGTCTTGAGAATTTTTGTTTTAAGAAGTACATTTGTGGAACTGGCAGGTGGCATGTGGTTAAGGGTACAGGACTCCCACATGGTCAACCACGGTTCAAGTGCTGGACCTGATAGCTTGCTTTCTACTCCCCATCCTCACTCTGTCCCTCTGGTCAAATTAAAATAAATAGAATGTTAAAGTAACTCTCTAAAAAAAAAAAAAAAAGGACAGTTGTAGTTATGAAGCTGATGCGTGCATGCCTACCAAATTAGAGTTTAAAATCACTGGGGAGATTTTTTTTGTCCTCCTACCCAGTGTCATGAGTAGACATGCAGACATTCTTGTGGACCTCTTTCATGTGCAGATATACTTTTGGCTAACCACACTGAATGTGCCAGTTTAATGTAAACTTCTCCATTAAAGTTCTTCTTTGTGGTACGTAGAATAATTATGAGCATATGTAATTTATAGCATCTTAGATTTGATGAACTCTCATACTTTATATTTGGTCTTAAAAGAGAAATTAGAAAGGACCAACAGAGGGTATAATGGTTACATTACTGGACTCTGTCGACTATGGTTCAAGTCCCAGACCTAGCAGTTTAAACTCAAGCCTGGCATATGTACATGCGTGCCCAAGATCCCAAGAGGAGAATGGAGAAGGGATTGCAGCATGGCCATCCCTCCTGGGGGGTGATATCTTGCTTTTTGTATCTCTGTCTTTTCAGCGCACGTACATGCTCTATAGCAAAAACCTCTCCAAAATAAACGTGACATTACGAGAAAATTTTATTTCTTGCATATTGAGTTACCCTTTTGGCAGGGACATAGTATGGAAATAAACAAACAATGCAGAGGGACTGACCTGATGTTGGCCTTAATGACTTCTGCGCTGTATAGCTAGGATAGAACATGGACTTTCAAATTTGAAACAGTTTTTGAAACCAGTTGATATTGACAATTTTACATCAGATTTTAAAACTGGACATTATTTAAATAGAAAGGAAACATTACTGTAGGAACAGGAATACAGATAAGAGTGCATATTGTAAGATACTCCTTATATCAGTATATTCCTGAGTTTATGCTTCTTTCCTGCAAATTATTATCTACTTAGAAAAACTGTCAACTTACATTTAAGAATTCTTAATAGTAGTTAATAGTTCTTGCATTCATCCTGCCTATTTTCTTCATTTAGGTATCCCTCCACCTCGTCCTGGCATGATGCGCCCACCTTTGGTGCCTCCTCTTGGACCTGCCCCACCTGGGCTTTTCCCTCCGGCTCCCTTGCCCAACCCAGGGGTTTTAAGTGCCCCGCCCAACTTGATTCAGCGACCCAAGGCGGATGATACAAGTGCAGCCACCATTGAAAAGAAAGCCACGGCAACCATCAGTGCCAAGCCACAGATCACTAATCCCAAGGCAGAGATTACTCGATTTGTGCCCACTGCACTGAGGGTGCGTCGGGAGAATAAAGGGGCTACGGCTACTCCCCAAAGAAAGTCAGAGGATGATTCTGCTGTGCCTCTTGCCAAAGCAGCCCCCAAGTCTGGTCCTTCTGTTCCCGTCTCAGTACAGACTAAAGATGATGTTTATGAAGCTTTCATGAAAGAGATGGAAGGGCTACTGTGACAGCTTTTGATGCCAGAACAGGCTTTTGTTCTTAACAGTGGTTCTTGGAAAAGAGGCTCTTATTAAACTTAGTTGAAAGAGCTGTTTCCACTGTCAGGGTATTTTCTAATTTCAGTTCAAAGAATATCCTAAAGTTTAGACTTATTCAGATTTTACTGCATATAGGAGAGGATATTTCATTAAATAGATTGGTTATTGAAGCAGTGCTGCTAACATCCTTTCCCTTTCACACCATTTCCATCCCATTTCTTCCCCTTCTCCCGTTCTTTGGAAATTTGTGATCAGGGGGATCTTAGTTACTGTTTTGACTCTCTTGTGTGCTGTGGGCACTGGAATAGAGATTTCTGAAAAACCAGTTTATTTCATCTTGCCTTTCCTGTTTGAGTTATTTTTAATATTTTCCTGTAAATATTTTGTAATATTTTACTTGTAGTGAAATGGATCACAATGTCATTTCCTAATACAAAGGCAGGATATGTGGGAAGAAAATGTACAATTCTTTGATTAAAATTATTTCCCACTGACCTAAACTTTGAGTGTTTCATGGAAAAAATAAATAAATGTTCTACATCAGAATACCTTCTGTGTTACTAATGTGCAAAAACATGATACTTTGTCTTATGGACAGAAAAGCAGGTAATTATAAGTTGGGTTGTAAGACCAGCCTCATTGTGCTGCAGCTAAGTCTGCATAGGGAGCTAGATAACACTTGGCCAACCACAGTCTGAATCCTAGCCTGAGCAGCTTGAAAAACACCAGGTGCGTGTATGTGTGTATGTGTGTGTCCCCCAAATCCTGACAGGGTGGAAGAAAAAGGATTGCAGCATAGCCACGCTCTATTCAGGGATGGGGTTCTCTTTCTGGTGAGCACATACACCCTCTGGCATTTTTTTTCAATCCATAAAAAAAAGTGGGTTTTAAGAACCATTTTCTGGCACAGACTATCTTACTGAAAATATGACCGAAAAACAAATTTTAAAATGTAAAGGATAAAGAATTCTGTCAGAATTAACATGATTGTCTTAGAGAAACAGGTTACAAATATGACCTGGCTTTTATTGCTGAGAAGAGGATGAGTCTTTGGGCCAGCTGGTGGCATGGTGCTTGAGGCAGTTCCATCTCAGGACTGACTGAGCTATTTGAGTCCTGAACACAATGGCTTGAGTAACACCAAGGATGTGTGCATACATGCCCAAAATCCCAAAAGAAGAGTGGAAAAAGGATGGCAGCGTGACCTCACTCCCCCCCACACACACGTGAGCACACATACTCTATTGCAAACAAAAAAGTCTTCCTCAAAAATTATCCTCTGCTGTAGCTTTGTGAGTTGATAATAAATGAATGGCAAAGACCATTTCAAACCATTTCTAAACTATTAGAGAATAAAAAGATTACTTTTTTGAAATTGAGTTGGGGTTTTATCTGTTTTTGTATTATTAAGAATGCTCAGGACTGGTAGATGGTGTAATGTTTACATCACTCATCTCCCACATGGTTGACCGCAGTTCAAGCCACAGACTGGCAATTTTTTTTTAGAGAGAGATTATTGCTATAGGGTGTGTGCACTCACCAGAAACAGAAAGAGAAGTCACTCCCCAGGGAATGGTCACACCACAATCCCTTCTCCAGTCTCCTGGGATTTGGGGCATACATGCACGTGTGCCCAGTGTGAGTTTCAAGCTGCCAGGTCCAGGACTTGAACCACAGCTGGCCATGTGGGAGTCCAGCAACGTAACCATTACGCCACCTGCTGGTCCCCAGACCAGCAACAAAAAACCAGGCATGTGTGCATGCATACTGAAGATCCCAAGAGGAAAATGGAGAAGAGATTACAGCATGGCCATCCCTCCCCCTCACCTAAAATGATTTGCTTTCTGTCTCTGGCGAGCACAAGTACCATATAGCAAAAGTCTAAAAGAAAGCTCAGCACTATCAATATACATTGATACTTTCTTTATAAAGTGCTTTCATTAAAAATTAACTCTTCTACCTAATAACCCTGGGAGGTGATTCATCAGTATTCTCCCCTTATTACACTAGAGTATTAGAATTTTCAGTTTTTGCTCAGAGTATATTAGCTCACCACAGAGAGAAAGAGTGAGAAATTCGGGGTGATGGCCATGCTGCAGTCCCTCCTCCGGATTTTCTAAAAAGGGCTTGTGATTTATTCAGTGGTCCAAAGTGTGTATTTCCAGTATCACAACCTAATTACAAAAATTTTAGCACAGGTTTCTTTGGCAAAAAGTTGAATGTTCTTCAATCTCCTCTGACAGAGAGTTAGGCACTGCTAGCTTTTGTGTGCCAATGATATAAACTTTTGTGTCATTTCTGTTCTCAAAAATACTTAAAAAGACAAGTGGCACAGTCCATAGCATATAGGACTACACTTTTGGAAGCCACATGGCCAACCGCAGGATCAGATGAGGAGCTGGAGGGCTGGAGGGAGGAGCTCGCAGTATGACCAGACAGTATCGAGAGTGCTTCTCTGTTTCTCTCACACAGGCGCACGCACCATCTATCATGAATAAAATTAGCACATACATATTTTTTAATCCCGAGAATACCCCAACTGACTGAAAATCTCCATGTTAGAAGTCTGTTAGAATAAAGCTAAGAACTAAGAAATAAGCAAAAACTCCAAGAAGTTGACAGGGCAATGGTACCCACCAACACATCCATCTAGTACCTTTCCCAGCCTGCTGTCCAGTTAGGGTAAGCACCGGTCAGGTGTAGTCGGTGGGCTACAGCAGAGAAGGGTGGGTGTGAGTTCTCTGTGCTCCTATCACCTGCGCTGGAACACACAGGAGATGGTTCTGTATGGCTCGTAAGTGGTAGTTCCAGACTTCATTCAAGGATTACTTGTGAAACTTTCAGGAAGACAGAATTCTGTCTGTCCTATTTACTCTTACTAGAAAACTATACATCAAGGGCTTTGTGAGGGATCACTTTGGTCATGCCATGAAAGGTCCAGGGGCATTTTCCCCCTTGGCAGGGATGCCTGTTGCATTTGGATGAGTAGGAGGTGCATCCTTCCTGACAACCCTTTTTACCTTGCTCTGTGCCACCAGGACACTGAATTGTAGAGACAGCATGAATGAACTTTTTTGCCTTTTGCCTTCCATTTGTGCTGGGCGATGGGAAGCAGCATACTGAAAGAAGGAAGGAAAATGATGTCATGGTATTCGTTCAATATATGAACTTAAATATATATACAAATACATTCAAAGTATAATTTTTATTATACAACACATGAATGCCAAATTAAAGGAAATGGATCATCTGTTCCTTGTACAAAGACATATACAAAAAGACAAATGCAAGATTAAAATTCCTTGATAAGCATGAAAACAAGAGAATGGAGCTAGCTTATGGCTTGGTGGTTAAGAGAACCATATCCCACATGAACAACCACACAGTTCAAATCCCAGTCTTGGCACTTTGAAAAAACACATCGGGGGACCAGCAGTTAGTGTAATGGCTATGTCGATGGACTCCCACGTAGTCAACCGCGGTTCGAGTCCCAAACCCGGTGGCTTAAACTCAC